ACCCTGAAGCCTGCCACTTTCCCATATGGTTCAAAACATCTCATAAGAGGAGTCACTTTATCCAACAGGCCTTCTATTACAATCCTTCCATCATCTTCATCATTGGCTATTGCTTGTGGACAAGTCTGGTTGTCTTCCAAGGGTGGAATCTGGGCGATGGGTCTATCAGTGACTGTAGAGAAGTGTTCTGGATCCACATGGTCTTTGGCAGAGAGGACATACGTGCTGGTTGGTGGTCTTTAGACACAGGGTCATTCCAGGTGAGGTCTAACCAAAGCAGAATAGAGAGGCACCATGGCTTCCATCGATCTGAACACTAGACTCCGTTGGATGCAGCCCAGAATCCCATTGGCTTTTTCAGCTGCTGCATCACACGCTTGGCTCATGTTCGCCTGTGAGAGCCCAGAGAGAGGAGAGATCTGTGGCTTGGAAGGAAAGGCAGGCGGAAGGGAGAATGGCAGAGAGGGGCGGGAGGATGTATCATGTCAATTCCCTGTTAAGATCAAAATAAGAATTAAAAAGGGGAGGGGGAGATGACTGATAAAGGTGAGATCCCTCTTCGCATCATCAAGACAAAAAGGGAGTTTCCAAGAAGGGAGGGTCGGGACTCGTCATGCCTTGCGGTGTTGGTAACGACAGCCTTCATGACTGATAAAGGTGAGATCCCTCTTCCCATCATCAAGGCAAAAAGGGTCACAAGATGGGAGGATCTTTAAGCCTTCTCTAGTAATGTTTATCTATGATCCTGTTGCTTCCTGTTTCCTGTATGTATGTTCTGGTATGCAGCTTCCTAAACAGATGTAGCATACTTTATTTAAAAAAAAAACAATTTTATTCAAAGACAAAAAACAAAACAAAACATGTTTACACAAATTACAATTTTGGTATTTAATGTTTTTTGCACAAATTATAATTTTGGTACTTTAAAAAAAGTACTACGTAACAAATGTAAAGTGAAGGACACACACCTTGCACAGTAAGAGCAAAACTAACAGACAACAAACACTAGTCTATGAACCTCTCACTCACTATATGATTTTTATCTCTGTTCCTTTAAATGCTGTTCTATACTTCATCAATTTAGTTAATTTGTTCATCTCGACTGATGGACGTGAATCTTCACCAGCCGTTGTCACCATTCTTTGTCTTCCATTCTCTGCAGTTAGGGAGATGTGCTGTGCATCCTAATGGACCCTTTGCCAAAAGGTGGGGATTAAGCAGTATAAAATATAATGCAACAGATATCTATGTATCAATGTAGAAGTGTTAAGTTGTTGAATAACTAAACCAATTATAACACTGATATCATATACAGTCAGAGTATTATTGTACCAGTACCATGGGCAAAATCTATAGAAACATCAGTTATTCAATCAAGAAAAACATCCATAATAAACATTTTCAAGTGTGAGCAAAAACCCATGGAGAAGTCTCCCCTTATAAAGATATAGAAAAGGAAAAAAATTTGGAAACCATTTTACGAGATCGGCGATTCTAAAAATTTGGGAGAAATATAAGAAGAAACTTTACAGTAAAACACCTCTCTGGCTATCGCCATTAGAAGCGGGTCAGAGAAGGTGTATGGGATGGAATGAGTAGCCAATTTATAAGGAAATACTGAAAAAAGAGCAAGGAGAATTAATACTAAAAGCACAATATGAGCCAAATACTATAGACCAGAAAGCCTCCTGGCTACAATATTGGCAAATTAAGGAGAAATATAAACTAGATAAAAAATTAGTTTTTACACAACAAAAAAACTTTTGGGATAAAATTATGGAGACAGAGACTAAACTAATAACAATGATATATAAAAAATTAATACAGGGGTCTATGGAGTCAAAAGAAGAAAAAAATTACATGAAAAGATGGAACAAAAATATAGGAAAAAATATAAAAAAAGAAGAGTGGAAGGAAATTTGGAAGAAGAGAATAAAATTTACATACGCATCAGACCTGAAAGAAAATTGGGTCAAGATATCACAAAGATGGTATATGACTCCGAAAAAATTGGGGAAAATCTACAATAATTCAAGCACAACCTGCTGGAAATGTAAAGTAAAAGAAGGCTCTTATTACCACATGTGACAGAGCAAAAGAATATTGGAAGAAAATACAAAAAGAGATTCAAATTATGTTAAAAATACAAATACCATGGAAGTCAGAATTATTCTTATTAGGAATATATGATAAAAACTTAGAAAAAAACGCAGACAAAATCTTATTCTTAATCCTAACAGCAGCCAGAAAATGCTTCGCAAAAAAAAATGAAAGCAAGAAAAATGATTGGCTAATAAAAATTTTAGAAATTAGAAATATGGACAGGCTCACCTTTCTATTGCTGAAAAATAAAGAACCAAGAAGGAAAGAAACAGACTGGAAAGAAGTTACTGAATACCTGAGAAAAAAGAAGATAGAGATTGTGACTTGAAGTTGACAACAAAAGAATGAAACACAATGAGAGAAAGGAAAGAAGGAAAAGAAAAAGAAGAGAAAGCAAATTATAAGATGGTTATATAGAAGACTTCTAAAAGATACCAGGAGGTCTTCTTAATATATATATAGATACATAAATATATATGTGTATGTGTGTATATATATATATATATATAATTTCTCACCTTTTTTTCTCTTTCTTTCTCTTTTCCATTCACCCCTACCTCTACGATTTTCATCAATATTTCACATTATTCATTTACACTCACCTGTTTTTTTTTTGTTTTTTTCTTTCATCATCACGATTTTATAAAACTTGTATTTTTATGAAAATTTCAATAAAGATTATTTAAAAAAAATTAAAATACAGGTCAATTACAAAAAACAAGAGCGATCTAATCGTTTAACCCACCTGGGGAAATGGTATATAACCTGAATATCCAAAAGGCCTCCCTCTGACATAAAATTCTTTTAAAGTCTTGATGGGGTTGTGTGGTTAGCTTTTTTAAAAAGCGCAGAATCTGAAGCTAGTGTGTGTGTGGGATTTCTCACTGAAATG